CCCCCTCTCCTCGGCCTCGTCGTCGTCCAGCAGGTCGCCCTCCTCCGCCGAGTCCTCGTTGCCGCCCTCGGCCTTGGCCCCGCCCGCCTCGTCCTTCTTGGAGCCGCTGCCGCCCTGCTCCTCCTCGGCCTTCTCGCTCTTGGCCTCTGCGGCCGGGCAGGGGGGAAACACCAGGGATTTGGGGGTTAAAATCGGATATTTGGGGGGAAATATCAGGGATTTGGGGGTTAAAATCGGACATTTGGGGGGAATATCAGGGATTTGGGGGTTAAAATCGGACATTTGGGGGGAATATCAGGGATTTGGGGGCTAAAATCGGACATTTGGGGGGAATATCAGGGATTTGGGGGTTAAAATCGGATATTTGGGGGGAATATCAGGGATTTGGGGGTTAAAATCGGATATTTGGGGGGAATATCAGGGATTTGGGGGTTAAAATCGGACATTTGGGGGGAATATCAGGGATTTGGGGGTTAAAATCGGATATTTGGGGGGAATATCAGGGATTTGGGGGTTAAAATCGGATATTTGGGGGGAATATCAGGGATTTGGGGGTTAAAATCGGACATTTGGGGGGAATATCAGGGATTTGGGGGTTAAAATCGGACATTTGGGGGGAATATCAGGGATTTGGGGGTTAAAATCGGATATTTGGGGGGAATATCAGGGATTTGGGGGTTAAAATCGGATATTTGGGGGGAATATCAGGGATTTGGGGGTTAAAATCGGATATTTGGGGGGAATATCAGGGATTTGGGGGTTAAAATCGGATATTTGGGGGGAATATCAGGGATTTGGGGGTTAAAATCGGATATTTGGGGGGAATATCAGGGATTTGGGGGTTAAAATCGGACATTTGGGGGGAATATCTGGGATTTGGGGGTTAAAACCCAACATTTAGAGTGAAAAACGGTGATCTGGGAGGGAAACTGGGGTGATGTGGTGGTGGTGGGTGGAGCCTGATGGGCGCCAGGCAGAAGCCGTTGACAAAAACCGCTCCCACCCCCGAAAATCGCGTTTTCCGCCCCGAAAGCGGCGCCCGGGGTTCTCACTCTGCTCCCGCTCCAGCCGCTCCAGGCTCTCCAGCAGCGCGTCCACCTTGGCCTTGATCTGCCCCAGCTCCTTCTTGATGCTCTGCAGGTCATCGCCTTTCACTGCGGAACCACCCGGAAACGCCCTCAGCACCCGCCCGCCGCCATCTTGGATTGGGGCGTGGCGGCCGCCATCTTGGGGTGGGGATGGGGGCCGCCATCTTGGATTGGGGCGTGGGGGCTGCCATATTGGATTAGGACTTGGAGGCCGCCATTTTGGATTGGAGGATGGAGGCCGCCATATTGGATTGGGGCGTGGGGGCTGCCATATTGGATTGGGGCGTGGGGGCCGCCATTTTGGATTGGAGGACGGAGGCCGCCATATTGGATTGGGGCGTGGGGGCTGCCATATTGGATTAGGACTTGGAGGCCGCCATTTTGGATTGGAGGACGGAGGCCGCCATATTGGATTGGGGCGTGGACGGCGCGGTCCCGTACGAGCCACGGGAGCCGCCCCGTTGGCCACCGGCAGCCGCCATTTTGTGCGGGCGTTCCCATCCCCCCCCCCCACCGTTTCCCGCCCGTTTCCCGGCGTTTCCCGTACGTTTTCCCGACTTGGAGGAGGAGCCGCGCTGTCCGGATTTGCTGTTGAAGCTCTTGCCGCGCCGGGAGGTGTTGCCGGAGACGCGCTGGCGCTTGGAGGGCACCACGGCGCGGGCGATGGGGGGCGGGGGCGGCACGCGGGCGGGGTAGCTGTACATCCTGCGGGGAGAGGCGGCGGCATGGGCGGGGCCCGCGGGGCGGGGCCGCGGCGGGGGCGGGGGCGCTGGCAGGGGGGCGGGGTCCCTAACCCGCTCTGCACTGGTTTATACTGGTACCGGTCATAGTAGTCCCGCTGGAAGTCGTAGTCCAGGTCGAACGACGACCTGGGGGCGGAGACGGGAAGTGAGATCCCAAACCCCCCCCCAAAAACCCCCTTGGGATCCCCAAAAAAAACCGGGGGAACCCCTGGGACGCCCCAAAACCTCCCCAGATCCCCTGGACACAAACCCAGCCCTCCCAAAAACCCTCCCAAAGCCCCCGGAAAGTTCCGGAGCGCTGCCCAAACCCCGGCCGGGCCCCAAAAACACCGAACCTCCCCTCTGAGCCCCTCGAGCCCCCCAAGAAATCCCTCCCCAAGACCCCCGGGACGGCTGCAGGACCCCCCAGGAGCCCCAGGACCCCCTGGGACGGCTGCAGGACCCCCCAAAGGCCCCGGTTTCCCCCCAGGGTCCCCACCTGACGAGGGGGGACGGTGACGGGGGGGCGGGTACTGACCCGTACATCTCGGCCGCCGAGCGCTTCACCCCCGCCTTGCCCCGGTTCACCTTCGGCTCGGCCGCCAGGTTGATGTCTGCGGGTCAGAGCGCGCCCGTTTGCGCCCGTTTGTGCCGGTTTGGGGAGGTTTGTGCCGGTTTGGGGAGGTTTGGGGAGGTTTGTGCCGGTTTGTGCCGGTTTGGGGAGGTTTGTGCCGGTTTGTGCCGGTTTGGGGAGGTTTGTGCCGGTTTGTGCCGGTTTGGGGCCGGTTTGTGCCGGTTTGTGCCGGTTTGTGCCGGTTTGGGGCCGGTTTGTGCCGGTTTGGGGCCGGTTTGGGGAGGTTTGTGCCGGTTTGGGGTCAGTTTGGGGTGATTTGGGGCCAGTTTGTGCCGGTTTGGGGCCGGTTTGTGCCGGTTTGGGGAGGTTTGTGCCAGTTTGGGGCAGTTTGGGGTGATTTGGGGCTGTTTGGGCCATTTTGGGGCCATTTGGGGTCAGTTTGGGGAGTTCATCCCAGCAGGGTCTGACAATGGGGAGGCCAGACCCAGAAATGTCTCTAAATGAGCCCAAAATGACCCCAAATGACCCAAAACTGACCCCGAATGACCCAAAACTGACCCCAAGTGACCACAGCTGGCCACAGAGTGACCACAGCTGGCCACAGTGACCACAGCTGGCCACAAGGTGCCTGACCCTGACTCCTGAATGAGCAGGAGCCAGCCCAGGTGTGCCCAGGTGAGGTCACCTGGACTGTGACCCCTCCTGGAGCGGCCATGAACCCCCCCAGAGTGACCCAGAGTGGCCATAAATCACCAAAAGTGACCCAAAGTGACCATGAACCCCCCAGTGACCCCAGGTGACCACAGGTGACCAAGAGTGACCCCAAGTGACCACAGGTGACCAAGAGTGACCCCAAGTGACCACAGGTGACCAAGAGTGACCCCAAGTGACCCCAGGTGACCACAGGTGATTGCAGGTGACCAAGAGTGACCCCAGGTGACCAAGAGTGACCCCAAGTGAACACAGGTGACCACAGGTGACCAAAAGTGACCACAATTGATCCCAAGTGACCCCAGGTGACCACAGGTGATTGCAGGTGACCAAGAGTGACCCCAGGTGACCACAGGTGACCAAGAGTGACCCCAAGTGAGTGCAGGTGATTGCAGGTGACCAAGAGTGACCCCAAATGACCACAGGTGACCAAAAGTGACCACAATTGATCCCAAGTGACCCCAAGTGAGTGCAGGTGACCCCAAGCTGACCGCAGGTGACCCCAAGCTGGGCCCGAGCCCGGCTCACCTAGCACCTGGCCGGCGATCATGCGGCCGTCCTCGCCGGCCACGGCGGCGCGCGCGTTGCGCTCGTTGACGTACTGCACGAAGGCGAAGCCCTTGTGCACCGAGCAGCCCACGATCTTGCCGTACTTGGCGAAGATGGCCTCCACGTCGCTCTTCTTCACCACCAGCGTGTTGAGGTTGCCGATGAACACCCGCGAGTTGAGCGAGCGCGGGTCCGTCTTGTTGGTCACGTTGCTGGCCATGGCGGGGGTGGGCCTGGCGGGGGAGGGGCGGTCAGCGCGCCGGACGCGGCCGGAGGGGGCGGGGGAGGAGCTGGGGGCGGCCGCGAGGTCTCGGGACCACCCGGAACGTGCTGGGGGTGACGGAGAACACCCGAAAACCGCCTGGGAACACCCGAAAACCGCCTGGGAACACCCACAGAACACCTGGGAACCACCCCAAAACCCACCTGGGACCGCCCCAAATCCACCTGGGACCACCCAAAATCCACCT